CACTCAGATATCACCATCCAGTCAGAGTGGCCAAAATGAACAAATCAGGAGACTATAGATGCTGGAGAGGATGGGAGAAAGCGGGAAACCTCTGCACTGTTGGTGGAATGCAAATTGGTGCAACTGCTCTGGAAAGCAGTGTGGAGGTTCCTCGAAAAGTAAATAGACCTACCATGACCCATGAATAGACTGACTAGGATTTATCAAGGGACACAGGGTCTTTGAGGTCATAGGGCACTTGAGCCCCAATGTTCTAGCAGCACTCTCAACAATAGCCAAAATTATGGAAAGAGCCTCAAATGTCCATCAACTGATGAATGATAAAGAAATTGTGGTTTATATACACAATGGATTACCTACAGTGGCAATGAGAAAAAAAAGATATGGCCTTTGTCAGTTAACGTGATGGAATCTGGAGTGTGATGCTAAGATGAAATAAGCCATACAGAAGAAAGACAGATACCATAAGGTCATCTTATGATGATCCCGAAGAAACTTAAGAAAGACCATGGGGAGGGAACAAAAAAAAAAGGGTTAGAGTGTGGAGAAGTAAACATAAGAGTATCTGTTGAGAACTAGAGAACAAACAAGGTTGATGGGGGTGGGAGGGAGGAGAGGGTGTGATAAGGGACTCGAGGATGCACCTTTGGGATGAGCTGGGAATAGTTGTATGGAAACCAATTTGACAATAAATTTCATATATAAATAAAAAAAAAAATAAAGAAGACTTCCCTGACTTCTGAATCTAAAATGAAGATCCTTTGCTGTATATACTCTCTCCTTCAGAGCACCCTGTACTTTTCTTTCCTAGTAATTGCCAAAGTTTGCCTTTACATCTTTTATTTCTATAATCATTTGGTTCGTGTAATATGTCTCTTCTATTGGACTTCTATGAACTAGGCGAGGGAGGGAGTTATTCTACTTAGTTTCTCACCATGCTAATAAGAGCTATCTGTTCATTATATGAATAAAATCAATAGATTAGAGCTATATATTGCAAGTTAGAGGGTGATTAAGTGGCATGGGAAATTACTTTAAGAAGTAATTTTTAAGTTGGAAGGAGAAGAACAAATTAGTTTATAGAACTACTAAAAGCTACATTAGCCAAGACAATAAGGCATTGGTGAAAGAACAAATAGGTCAGTGGAACAAAATGCCCACAAATAGACTACAAACTTAACACACTTCAAAAAAAAATTAGCTAAAAATGGATCACAGACCTAACTGTAAAATGTAAAACCATAAAACTCCTAGAAGATGACATCGAAACCTAGATGATGTTTGGTACTGTTGGTGCCTTGTTAAAATTTATTATTATTATTATTATTATTATTATTATTATTACTTTTTGGTGGTGCCTTTTTAGGTACAACATCAAAGATACTATCCATGGAAGACATAACAGAAACTGGACTTCGCTAAAATTAAAAACTTCTGCACTACAAAAGACACTATCAAGACAATGAAAAAATAAGCCACAGACGGGGAGAAAATATTTGCAAAAAACACATCTGATAGAGGACTGTTATGCAAAATATACAAAGAATTCTTAGAACTCAATAATAAGAAAACAGCCTTATTAAAAAAATGGGCCAAAGTCCTTAACAGACACCTCACCAAAGATGTACAAATGGAAAATAAGCACATGAAATGATGTTCCACATCATGTGCCATCAGGAATATGCATATCAAAACGAGATACCACTATATACCTATTTGAATGGCCAAAATATGGAATTCTGACAATACCTAGTGCTGGCAAGAAGGGAGAACAATAGCAATTCTTATATATTGGTGCTGAGAATGCAAACTGTTGTAGCCACTTTGAAGATACTCCGGTGGTTTCTTGTAAAACTAAACATACTCTTACCATACCATCCAGCATCATGCCTTTTGGTATTTACCCAAAGGAGCTGAAAACCAATGCCTACACAAAAACCTGTACGTGGATGTTTACAGCAGCTTTATTTACAGCTGCCAAAACTTGGAAACAAACAAGATGCTCTTTAGTAGGTGAATGGATAAATACACTGGGTGAATGGATAAATACATCCAGACAATGGAATACTATGCAGTGCTAAAAGAAAATGAGCCATCAAGCCATGAAAGGACATGGAGGAACCTTAATTGCATGTAACTAAGTAAAATAATTCAGTCTGAAAAGGTTACATACTGTATGATTTCAACTATATGACATTCTGGAGAAGGCAAAACTATGGATAAAATTAAAAAAAAAAAATTAGTGGTTGCCAGGGGTGGGGAAAAGAGAGATGAATAGGCAGAACACAGAATTTTTAGGGCAGTTAAAATACTATGTATGGGGGTGCCTGGATGGCTCAGGTCTTGATCTCACGGTTTGTGGGTTTGAGCCCCGCGTCGGGCTCTGTGCTGACAGCTTGGAGCCTGGAGCCTGCTTCTGATTCTGTGTCTCCCTCTCTTTCTGCCCCTCCCCTGCTCATGCTCTGTCTCTCAAAAATAAATAAATGTAAAAAACAAATAAATAAATAAAATTTAATACTATGTATGTATTAAAATGATGGATATATGTGATCACATATTTGTCCTGAGCCACAGAATATACAACGCCAAGAGTGAACCCTTAGGTAGACTATGGACTGGGTGATTATGATGTGTCAATGTAGGTTCATTCTTGGTAACAAATGTACAGTTTGGATGAATGACCTTGATTATGGGGGAGGGTACACATGTGTGTTGGGAGAGGATATAAGGGAGATCTCTGTTGTAAACCTAAAACTGCTCTAAAAAAATAAGTCTTTTTAAAGTCTTTTTCAAAGAGCTACCAAAAAAGAAAAGAGACTAACAAATATGAGAAGTCTACTCTGTGTTAGACATCGTGTTAAGTATTTTGCATGTTTCATTTTACCATTAAAATAACCCAATGATACAGGAATTGTTCATCCTAATTCCCAGAGGAATTGAACTTTGGTTTTATGCAAGGATAAGTACATTGTCATTTAAGAAAATAATTTCATTTAAAATATAAAATTGTCCCAGACAATAGACTAATTTATTTTTCTACTCATTCCCAGTATCACTGTAAAAAAGGGCATACATTAAGTATTCATTTATTAACTTAGTCAATGGATATTTATTTAACATCTATATGTATCAGGCATTATTCTAGGTGCTAAGTATATTACTGTGGACAAAAGAGAGAAAATCCCTTCCATTATGGAATTGGATGCTGGTGGGACACAAGTGACAAATAAGTAAAGGATATAATACGTAAGATAGAAATATATGTTGGAAAGGAAAAATAAAGCAGAAAAATATAATATAAAATAGTTGGGGGAAGAAGTAGAATTTTAGACAGAGTGGCTACAGAAGGCTCTTTTGAGAAAGTACCATTTGAATTAAAACTGGAAGAAAGCAGGAGAGCTAGCTGCATAGAATGTTTGGGAAAAAGCATTCTAAGTAGAGTAAGCATGTCCCAAAAGCCTAAAAAAATAGGAGAAAGCCGCAGTGACTGGAATACGTTATTTCAGATTTACCAGCCTTGACAATCATGTGAGCCAATTGTTTAAAATAAATCTGTATATCTATATCTATATCTATCTATCTATATTTATATATCTATACCTATACCTATATGTATATCTCTGTGTCTCACATATATCCCATTGATTCTGTTTCTGTGTTTCTCTGGAGAACCCTGACTGGAACAATGTCTCTTTTTGTATAAGCTGTGTGATACTATGTAAGTTTTATGTAACCTCTGAAAGCTTCAGTTTTCTCAATGTAATATGGAAAACGTTTGAGTATCAATCTAAGTAGAGATGTTATGAAGGTTTAATGAAATAATTCATGTAAGGTTCTTAGTATTACCTTAAATGCAAAAATAATAAAGATTTACTAGGGTGGGGCGCCTGGGTGGCTCAGCCAGTTGGGTGTCTGACTTCGGCTCAGGTCACAATCCCACGGTTCGCAGGTTCGAGCCCCGCATCAGGCTTGGTGCTGACAGCTCAGAGCCTGGAGCCTGCTTCAGATTCTGTGTCTACCTCTCTCTGACCCTCCCCCACTCACACTATGTCTCTCTCTCTCTCTCTCTCTCTCTCTCAAAAATAAAATAAACATTAAAAAATAAAAAAATGAAAAAAAGATTTACTAAATCTATCTTACACTTGAAATACCAGGTCAGATGATCAAACACTATCCTCGTCATATTCTAGATGTTCTTCCCTAACTAATAGAATTGCTTCTATCAGAATTCTTCTTACTAGTGTCCTGTCCACGATTAACCAACCCCTAATCTCTGCTAAACACTTAAAAGCAATTAATGGGAACAAATAAAATGAAGATATAAAAATGAAGAACATTAGCAATCTAAATATAGTGATCTGCTTCATTATTATTTTTCTAGAAAACTTCATTGTATAGAGAAAATAAAGAAAATAATTTTACACCACAACACTTTAGCAAGGAGAACATCTGTAATCCATAAACAACCAATTTTGGTTTTACTTACACTATAATATCACAAAAGTCTAATCTGCAATGAAAATCCATCGCAAGAAAGACTGAATAGAAAAATATGGAAAAAAATTTCTAAAAAGGACGTATTAACTCTCCACAGTAAATGTTTATATTATTACCTGTTTATAAGAAAAATTCAGAATGATATAAATTTAATAAGTAGGAAGAGTTGACTCTTGAAACATGAAAAAAAGAGCCGCTTCTTAGAATTAACACACATCATCATGTAAGAGACAGTAGTCTAAAATACTTGCCTAATTTTTTTATGATGTTGTGTATTATTATTAAATTAGAAATAACTTCCACTGGAGCTTCTGTTAAAAGTTTAGCTTTTCTTCCAAAGGATTCTAAAGAGGAATTACTAAAAATATCAGGGAAAAATTCAAGCAATTTTTAATGCTTTAAATCATATTTCCTAGATAATTTTAAAGTTTATAGACGTTTTTAAAACTTCTATTATAAATAACTTGTGAATTATTATTTACTTGTAATCTGTTATTACTCACCTATGAGAAACTGCTCCCCAAGCGCCATGCTTGTTTGTGAGAATATTGAGGATCTTCTGTTTCAGTTGGTTTGCCGTAACGTGATCTCGATGTTTAGCGGCACTTATAAGATGGTCACACATCTTTTCTTCCTCTCTTCTATCAGCAGCATACTGGGCACACTGAGACTATCAAAACATAAAAACAGTGCATAATGTTTAACAATGCATAACTTCTGCTATGGCTAAGTAAGGAATATTATCTAACCTTCAGTTAAAGGGTAATAATTCAATTTTAAAAACTCAGATAATCCAATCTTGTGAAAATTTATTCTAAAGAATATAGTCATTATAATTACTGTTTAAATTGGTAAAAATGAGTCCTATGTGTTTATACATAAAGTATATGGAAGATAATTTGGATGATGTTATATAAAGCAATTAATGACATTTAAGGCTCCCAAAATTCTGAGTCTGTTGCTAATACATTAAAAAGAAAACATTTTAGAATAATGGTTTATTAAAAATGTAATTCTAATTATTATTTTAACTAATATAGTATATACTGCACTTAAAATAAAGAGTTACATTCCTGATAGTTATATAGAGATCCAAAACTTGCCATTTAATTAATATTTCCATCTCATAAATGGCAATGCGATGTACAAGGAAAAGCAATGATTTAGGAATTTAGGCTTGCATTTTATTTCACACTTTATGAAAATTGTTTTATTTCATCATCATACTCAGTTTCATATTTGTAAAATAATAAGGTAAGCTTTTCTCTACAATCTTTCCCAATCTGAGTATTTAATGTGTTCAAAGGTTCTCAGGATAACAACTATCTTATTCTTATCTTTCCTAATAATCAGTTGTTCTGTCGGCTACTGTATTCATGCTCACTGGCATTAGCAACAAAGCTAATCAATCTCACTGTGTATCAAAAAGGTTCAATATGATGATGAAGATGAGCATCTCTTTAATTATGAGTGTGATTTTTTTTGTATAGTGATTTTTATATCGGGTGGATTCACTGTAAATTTTAACATTACCAAGTATGTAATATGAGTCTTATAACTAGAAGAAAAAAAGTCTCACATCTAAAAAAAAATACATATAATTGGCTCACATTCATCTTTACTATGTAAAAATCCGTTTCAAGGAAGGTATTTGAACATATCCCTTCAGTCTGTCTCTTCTATGCACTACTACCACAAGTTATCTCTTTCAGAGAAATAACCCTACAGTAATCTAAGGAGGATTAATTCATTTTCCAATTTATCTTTTTGTACAGGGACTCACCAATTAGTACAATGATCTGCCTCCATAATGAGGTTAATATTTCATTAGCTCATTGGAGAGCAAAATTAAATTTTCATTTTTCTTCCTTAACAATTACAATGGTTAACTAAAAAAAAAAAAACTTAACTGTGAGGTACCCATCTCAAATTAAATATACTTTATCTGTTAAATACAAGCTTATATGGGAGAGAGAGAAATTCCCCCCAAAAGGCCTAGTAAAATGCCATGGCTTTTGTGAAATTTTTTATAACTTAAAAGTGGTAAATGGTGAAACACACACACACACACACACACACACACACACACACACACACACACACACACCAATGCATTTACTAAGACAGCTCTAACCTAAAAAGAACAAACAAACATTTTAGTTAAAAAAACAGTATAATCCATTAAATAACAAGGATAATACTCTCCAATTTGATTTACAGTAGTATTTTATTTTATGTTTACATAATTCTAAAAAACACTGAGTCTTCACATCCACTTCATGGCCTCTTATCACTCTTAGCCATGCATTCTCAATAGGAATGATCTCATCCCCAGGGGGTGAAAAGTGGTATCGCGAGGGGGGTGTGTGTGTGAAAAAATTGTATTCTTTTTATGTGTAAAGCACAGATGTGTATATAGTACATAAACAGATATACAGCACATTAGTAGATACAAAATTTTATGGAGGGGGGTGATTAGAGTGAAAATTGTCTAAAAGGCTTGCTTAGGGGGCAATACTGAAAAAAAGGCTGAGAAACACTGCCTTCAGCTTAATTTTCACCTTCGTTAAATATGTGTTAAAGCTTGTTACTGATACCTAGCTGCTTGAGAATCTATTTTAAATGTTTTCACATGACAAATATTGATCTTCTTATATCCCCACAAAGCATCTTGATTTTCTTACTAGAAATATGAATGACTCAAAATTCATCTTGCAGGGAATTCAGTTAATTTTCCAAATCTTATTTACTAACGGAAGTCAATACTTAATTGAATATTCTTATTTTGTTTAAAGTCCTGACATATCTTATATCTAAACATATTTGTCAAAGAACAGATAAGTCAGAATTTTCTTGACATCCAGATTACAACAGGACCCCCTGATAAATACCCAATGGTATTTATTGTTGAAGAGATATGAAGCTTCACTTTGATATACACTCAATTGTCCACGTACTTTTATCAAAGTTTAAAATATTTGGTATTTTTTTTTCAAAATAAGGTTGTTGCGATCTCACATGACAAGTGTGTGCTGTCTCATCTGACAAATGAAGCAGAGGTTAAGAGTATGGAAGTGGCAACAGCTATTTCTCTGTCTCATGCTTTTCAGCCAGCGAGGTCAGAGATTACTAGACCTAGGGCATCAACGCGCATGACTAAGAGAGCTGGTTTACCGAGATAAAAACCTCATCAAAACTGAAATCTTGGGCTCTGATTTCTAGCCACGCCACACTTGTTCGCATGTGGCATCAGGAAAATAAATGGATGGTTATTTATTATTTTCAAGGCCAATGGCAGTTCAACCTAAGCCAAATACCAAGTCACCTGATTATTTCTGAAACCAAGTTTGTTTTGCAAATTGAATGAAGTCATTGCTGTAATTTAAAACACTGAAATCAGGATACTGAATGGAGGAAATTCAAATAATGGTAAATAATTTGACACGCTAGAAATATAAAAATAATATTTGTATATAAAACCTGTTAGTATGGAATATACAGTATTTCAATATACTTTAGTTTTTTCATATAAAATAGAAATGATACTTAGTTTTTTCTTTAGTCACGGGACTTGTGAGGATTTTTAAATTATATATTTAAATTTATATATTTATATATTATAAAATTACATATTTAAATTTAAATTATATATTCCCAGATATACGTATCGATCTGCAAGCATATCACATAATAGCAATCCTTCAATTGTCAGTAAAATATCAATTATAACAATAAAATATGAACTGCAATGATCTTTGGCCACTCTAAAGATGGATACATTGATAAATAATAAATTACTGAAAACATGGAAAAACTGAGTATTTTTATATAACCACTTGTTAAACCCACATTTAGTAGTGTATAAACTCTGCTAGTTTAAAAATTACTAAGGTAATTGCATTCTAAAATTTTATTTGCCTTTAAGAGTACTTTAGAAAAACTTCAGTCTACTAAAGGGTTAGGCACAAGGTAAGAGGGATCTCTCCATGTTGTAAATGAGATGAAAATTAGTGCTCTGTGTTTGGTATTTACTAAAGCTTTAAAAAAAAAAGAACCAAAATTATTTGAATGAAATTTTCCTGTAAAAAAAAACTTATGTAAGGTTACCATCAGAGACAGCTGACTTATAACAGAGAAGCAGAATTTAATCTGCCACCAAAACCTTACCTCAAACTCTGCATGTTTATGTACATCCTCAGCCCTCTGTCTGTTCAAAATAAACTCAGCTTCATTTGCGACACGAACTATATGGTCCTTCATAGCATGGCATAGTAATCTAAAAAGGAAGATACCTTTGCAATTATTATTCCTAATATCTTTGGTTAATCTAATTTTTAATAATCAAATTTCAGTATTTGAAATATTAATTACGCATAAAATTTAGTTACATTATGAAATTAACATAGTCAAAATTATAATTCAAAGACATTTGAAATATAGAAATGAACCATAAAACTGTTACAACAATGGCTCTGTTCAATAGTGTATCTTGTGAATGAATGATTCAATTAATTCAATAAAATTAGTTAATGCAAAAAAAAAATCAAGGTTTTTATTAGTATTTTAAATGGTTAAAACAACAGAATGCCCTATCTTTGAAGGAAATAGTTAAAACAATAGACTTCACTATCTTGGAAGTAAACTCACACAAAAGCTAGATAATCATATATTAGGAAACCTATGCACTCAACTTTTTAACAAAGTTATTTGAATATTCAAATTGTTTTCAAAAAGTTTAAGACATATAGTGAAAAGCCTCTCACGATATTACCTCTTGACCTGATTTCCAACCTCATCAGGCACTTGCTGTTGACAGTTTCTTGCATATGTTTTCAGAGGCTTTTAAAAATACATAAGAAAATACAAATGTTCTTTTCCACATCCTTACACCAATATTAGTATATTACAGTCTTTTCTATACCTGGCTTTTCTCACTTAGCAATATATCTGAAGATCCTTCCTTAAGTGGGAGCACACAGGGAGCCTCTTCATACTTATTTGATAGCATGGAGCAAAGCTTATTTCCAAAGATGGTTGCAACAATATCTCCCATCCCACATACTCTTTTGCAGTGTGATACTGTTATTGCTCCGTCGAAAAGAGCAATGTTGGGGCATCTGGGTGGCTCAGTTGGTTAAGCACTCAACTCTTGATTTCAGCTCAGGTCATGACCTCATGGTTTCAGTTCATGAGATCAAGCCTGGCATCAGGCTCTGCACTAACAGCATGGAGCCTGCTTGGGATTTTCAACCTCCCTCTCTCTCTCAAAGTAAATAAACATTTAAAAATAATTCTTTAAAAATGAAGAGTTTCTGCTCCCCTAGATGTGCCTGGTGACTTCCTGTGACCAACAGAATATAGCAGAAGTGAAGTGTTGTAACTTCTGAGCCTAGGGTATAAGATGCCTTGAAGCTTTTGCCTTTCTTTCTTGGAAACCTGTCTTTTAGAATCTGCTGCAATGCTGAGTGAAGCTCATATACCTGTCTTTTAGAATCTGCTGCAATGCTGAGTGAAGCTCATATTATGTGGAGAGCCTCAAGGAAGAGAAGAGAGGACATTAGGCTCCCAGGCCTAGTTGAACTCCCAGCCCAGAGCCAGCCTCCCAAGTGATTACAGTACCAGACAGCGCCACAGAGTGGTGCAAAGGAACAGCTTAGCTGAGCCCAGTCAATGAGAACAATGAGAGATTAAAAAATGGTTGTTTGTTTAAGCCACATGACGATCATGATGATGATGATGACGAAGGAAGAGAAGAAGGAGGAGAAGAAGAGGAGGAGGAAGAAGATATTGACCATAACAGCTGTCACCAAACCACTTATTGAGAGCTAGGTAATAAAATAGGTAATTTACACATAATACTCAATTCTCACAATAAACCTTGGAGATACATATTATTTTCATTTTTAAACATAAGAAACCAAGGCTCAGAAAAATTAAGTTCTTTGCTTCAGATCATAATTAAAAAAAAATAATTCTCCTAATTTTATATTTGCATTGCATCTTCATTAACCAACAATATTTTTTGAAGTAAAACCTCTGTGTTTACTGGTGCTCTCCTCCATTGTGGGCATTCTAACATTAATTCTTTTCATTTTTCCAATTATGAACAGTGATTAGGTCTTTTTACATTCTTTTCTTTTGCAGTAAGCAATTACTGTGTTAAAAATAATCATAGTATATTTGAAGTTAACTCAAATCTTTCCGGTTTTTCTTAAAGGGCAAACTTACAAATTAATGTCTGTTCTTTTACCATTGTCCTTTAAAAATTTAGTTCTAATGGGGTGCCTGGGTGGCTCATTTGGTTGAACGTCTGACTTTGGCTCAGGTCACGATCTTGCAGTTTGTGGGTTCAAGCCTCGCATCGTGATCTGTGCTGATGGCTTGGAGCCTGCTTCAGATTCTGTGTCTCCCTCTCTCTTTGCCCCTCCCCCGCTCGTGCTGCAACTCTCTCTCTCTCAAATAAATAAACATTAAAAATTGTTTCTAATTCAGTTCTTACACTCACATTCATTCATTGGTCCAGTTTTTCTCTACCTGGTTTTTAAAAAAATGTTTATTTAGAGTAAATCCTTGGATTGAGAGTAACTTGTTCTACAAGTGTTCCGCATGATGAGCAAACATTTCTAATAAATTTTAACTTGATAAATGAGTGATGTCTTGCAATACAAGTAGTAGGTGATGCCAACTGTCACATGATCATAACTGAACCAATGGTTCTTCTCTACCTCTCTCTCTCCCTCTCTCGCTGAGGGATTGTGGGTAATCATGTCCCGTGCTCAGATGCTCGGTCTCAGGCCATGGTGTTTGGCAGAAATCAGTGATTATTCAGAATGTTGGAAGGTGCCCACAATCGGCACTAGTGTAGTTTTTGTCACTTCAAAACATCTAGGGACAGTCCTTGCTGCTCCATATAAGAGTAAGCTTAGAATGCTTTGCTTCATTCCAGGTCAGGCTGCCTGCAGATATAGACGCTTTCCTCTGTTGCCTTATTGCCAGTTACATTAAATACAGTATATCACAAGAGTTTATTAAAACTGTACTGTGGTAAACATCTGTGTGAGTGTATACAATGGCCCTATGCAGAAAAAGATTCCATTGAGCCAATAGACAACAGTGATTCCATCAGTGATAGTGGAAGTCATCCTACACAATAACCCTCCTCTCTCTTTCTCACACCAGTCACAAAGATTTTCAAAGGTAGGGGCAAGTTAATGTTTTATTTTTTCTTTATATTTTGTATTTTCTTTATTATTTTATATTATATTACAGTATTGTAATCATTTCTATATGAATATTTTTGGGTTGTGGAATGAATCATCTGAGTTCCCATTATTTCTTATGGGGAAATTTACTTTGATATATGAGTGCTTTGGATTACATGCATGTTTCCAGAATGAATTATGCTTGCAAACCAAGATTTTACTGTATTTATTTTTGAGAGCAAGAGCTTGTGCTGTGGGGGAGGGTCAGAGAGAGGTAGGGACAGAGAATCCCACGCAGCTCTGCACTGTCCGTGCAGAGCCCTATGTGGAGCTTGAACTCATGAACCTTGAGATCTTGACCCAAACAGGATGTTTAACTTACTGAGATGCTCAGGTGCCCCTTTTACTTAGATTTTTAACAACAGTGCTATTCTCAAGATTGCCATTCTTTACTTGCACTGCTCATTAATGAAATGAATTATCATTTTTTTCTTGCTCAATTGTCAAGTTCAATCAGAACGGGACAGATTGAACCTCACTTAATTTTGTATAAACTAAATAGCAAGTTTGTTGTTTTTTCCTTGTTAATTCTCATATACAGTAGCTTTCATTCTCATATACTTAGTGACCTTTTTTTTTTTAATCTCACTTCTAGTCTTAATGAGTGGGAATTCAACAGACCTATCTTGGGTAAGTGCTTCCTTTAATTCCTGGTGATATCAAGGAGGAGTCACTAGAACCGTATTAGCCTCTCATGGGTCTTGGCTTATCCAGAATGTTCCAGGCTAGATTCTCTACTTAATTTCTTGACATAGGCTTAAAATACCAACTGCTTTAGGCATTTGCTCCCAGAGCATTCCTGCTCTTTGAGACAACAGTTTATAGGGAGGAGGAGCAGAACTGGAGAACCCCTAAAACACTTGTAAGACCCATGTTGCTTCAAAGCGTGCATCCTATGTAGGATGTGAGTATTCTTTGCAGAACATAACCTCAGATCACTGAGTAACCCATAGTTCCTTTTCTTGTATAAAATTATTTCACAATATTGTTCCTGAATATGAACTGTCTATGTGGTTTCTCCACACATGTCCCCCTCAAAAATAAAATTTCAAGGAAAGAAATGAACTCTATTAAACACCTTACACATGCTTGGTTCTTTTCATATACTATTTTGGGTAATCCCCAAACAACCATGAGTTGGATATATTATTAGTCCCATTTTATAGTTGAAAGCACCAAAATAAATAACTAATTAAATAAGTTAAGCAATTTGTTTAAGTCCAGGGAACTTCCAGCAACAGAACCAATGTACAACCCAAATCTGTCTGGGTTTGTTATGTGAGGCTGACTCCTGAAATGAAAGATTTTAAGAAAGTTAAGTAACTCTTTCTTCACATCTGATACACATATTCCCTTAGGATATCATGGTATAATCTTGGGTATTAATCAACTTATTATTTATATATTTCTTAGACAACATTAATGTAGACTTTGGGGGAGTTTTAATTCCTATGCTCCTTTTTATAGATTAAGAACAATTACACCACACGTTTTACATAGTGTGGAAAAAGTTAAGCATTCTGAACAAGGGAACAAAGTTTTAAGTTGCTTAACATTGAAATTTGACTATATTTAGCAGGTAGGCCAAAAATATCAACATTGTGTCAAACACAAAATATTGGATCTTAGGAGCTAGATCAACATCACAACAGGAAATAATCTTAAACGCCCCTATTCACTTTCCAATCCATTGAAATGTGGCTTTAAGATCATCCCACAGTAAACTAGTCACCAAGTCTTGTCGATTTTCCCTCAATATATTTTAAACTGTTTTACTCATACACTAACATTGCTTTAATTTAAGCCATTACTTAAGTTCACATAAATCATTATCATTTGGATTACAACGGCTCCCTCATTTTTCTGCCCCCCCATCTTCCATCTATCTAATACATTTTCCATTTGTCCATCAGTGTTATCTATTCTTAAATTTTTTCAATGCCTACTTATAATAGACAAGATAGTAGTCAAGCTTACTATATAGATGACTGTATACTTTTCTAATCTTGTCTAC